TGCGCACAACAAAAATTACCGATATCAACTCCTTACAAAGGCAGTGGCGTGGCGTGAAGGATCGATTATCGATAAATCGCCATTTGAGGCTATGGTAAAGAATCGATTACTAAGGTGTTCGCTGCGAACGCCCTGATAATCGATCTTTTTTCATAGGTTTGGATGGCGAATCAATCGATATATTGCAAAGCACGCCACGCCTCTGTTACAAAGATATTGAATGATTCCTGATGCGGGAATTCAAACCACCCGCTCATTAAAACTCAATGCTCTATACGTGATTCACGTCGCGCGCTAAACATTATCATGACAGTCTCTGCGACATAAAAATCTGGCAACCTCAGTCTTGACGCTTTGGCTCAGCTATAGCAAATTTCTTATAGTTTGAACAACACATGGTGGGAAGTGAACATAGCTCGATTGAGAAGCGTACTGAAACCGTTGTACTGCGCGATTTGACTCGCGTAGAGCTTGGAGTTTCTTGTGAGCGGGCAGTTCAAATTCCTCGTAACCAATGTGAAATAAAAACATCAATATCTTCGTTAGGAGCTGGTTTCAGTAATTTTCGTTGTGCGAATCGTGTTTTACGTAAAATTCTGGTTAGGAAACTTGTATCAGATTGCTTAAAATCTTACCTTGTCTAGTGGTCCATTCAAGGGCTGAAAAAGTGGCTGACCATGCTCTAAAGGGCATCGCACAGTGGATCGAGTCAGTGAGAGGAGTCGGGTATGATTGAAAAACATTGAAGGGGTGTATAACTAATATGAAATATTGAGGATTTAAACATATTTTTATTGGTTTTCTCGCACAATTTCCTCAAGGGAACACCCCTAAAAATTAAAATTTTGACGAGATAAACGTAAAATCCCTGGTAAAAATTGGCAGTAGGATCTGTGTTCCAAAATACCATAGACCTATGGCCGGTTGTAAGATTTCCTATAGCTTTCATAGCCGGCTACACAATTTCTTGTAGCCTTTTATAGCCGATGGCGATTAAGCAATAGCCAGGCGTTAAAGTGTATGCTAAACGTTACTAATTACGGATGCTAGGACTTAAGGAGTTTTTTGACTACTGCTCTCTTTTTGGGCCGTAGTATCTTGCTTTATTTTGCGAGGAAAGCTCCGTACTTTTGATGGATGCCTGCCGTTCCTAATATATTAGAGCGCCTTCAGTTTCGTATGATGCTGTGCAATACCTCTGGTGTGAAATAGTTGCTTCCAGTGCCGTGGGCCGTGGCACGCTGCGGCGCGGCAGGCGGGCAGCCAGCGCGGAACGCGCATCGGCGCCTACAAACCTAACAGGGATACTTCACGCGTTGCGCAATGCGTGAAGTATCCCTGTTAGGTTTGTAGGCGCCAGTGCGTCGCCGCTCCGAATTGCGTTAGGCTCTAATATTTAATCTGGCGGAGTCAGCGTTATTCAACTCATGATTTTGAAATTTTTGCACGTCCTGTATGGATTATTCTCATTTTAATGGATGAAAAAAAAATATGAATTAAAGGAAAATATAATGTGTGTTTTGTAAATATTAAGGTGGTTCCGTATCAAACTTAATGAATTCCAAAGCACAAAAATTTCTACACAATTTCTTATAGCCTTTTATAATCGATGGCGAAAAAGCAACAGCCAGGCGGTAAAATGTAAAGCCCGGCGATAGGAACTATAGCCCGGCTGCATAATTTTTTATCGCTTCTTATAGCCCGGCCGTATGATTTTCTCCGCATTCTGCAGCCAGCCATATAATTTTCTGTAGCCTTCTTTAGTCGGCTATAAGAATTCCTATAGCATTTTGAAACGCAGATCTTATCGCCAATTTTTACCAGGGCCACGCGAAATAAGTTTGCACACTTCTAAATGCGACAGAAGGTCCACCATCTTGATTCTTCCATTTACTTTTCATGTAAAAAAGACGTCAGACGATGTTTTGTTGAAGTTTATAAGTGCGTAAACTTATTTGGCGTGGGCTCCAACCGTCAAAAGTTGACAACAGCCCCTCACCTATCCTATCCCAAACCGGCGCAATTTTTCCATTAATTTGGCAACATCCAAAGACTCATACAGCACTTTTCCATGGCCCGGGCCCCCGGCAGTACCAGAGTGGGAAAGATCTGCGTGCTCCTGTTAAAAGCTTACCTGTGGGATGTAGGCGACTACGAAATCAGGCGCCTTCCCTCATTCCGGGGAGTTCCCGTGGGCTGTGAAGTGTGAACAGTCGGAGGAACTAATTATTACAGCAGGAGGCGAGACTCTGCAATCCTCTTCGCTCATCCCAAACAGTGAGTCATTGCCCGGTGACCCAGAAACGCCACGAAAAGTTTCGTCCACCCACTAAAACACACATCTCAACGACCGTCGGAGTTAATTAGACTCCGCGTTCCCAAAACTTACTTCACCATCAGCATCGCCTCGAATCGTAATTGTGTGGCGTGTGGGTCTCAGACTCGGAACGGAAACCGTTTTGCATAAACCCTTGCACTCTTAAGTCGCGCAACTCCGCTCTCATGTTGCCGCTTTTTACTCACGTCTTACGTGTTAATTGTAATGTAAGCTCTGTGACTTCCTGAATGTGCATCTCTTATCTTACCTTAGAGGGAGGCTGATAAGATAACCATATTTAGGCACCCTCCACCTCTTGGAAAATTTTAAAGAATAAACATCTTTCGATTAGCATTTTTGAAAATTGGACCACATTTGGACGTATTTCTGTCAAACGGAACTAAGCGCCATAGGGGAAGGAAGATAGAGGGGGGCTTGGATTGGCGGCGGAACCGGGCGTCGGACCCATTCCGTCCTATACTCGCAATGCTTTTCTATGGCGCTTAGTTCCGTTTGACAGAACGCGCTATTCGGCATTCGAAATTCCTCAAAAAGAACTCAAATTGGCGCTTAGTTCCGTTTGACAGAAATACGTCCATTTTGCATTCGGATAATTTCTGGCTCGTCTGTAAAAACACCTATGTGCGTAGGGAAACTAATGGTTCATACGTTGTTTCTCAACTGAGCCAGAAATTATAGTTCCGAATTGCAAAATGTAGTCGAATTAGCTCTTGCACTTAAAATGTTGTGAATGAAAAGTGACTTATTTTACTCGTTCCATTGATTGTTTTTTCAACTGCAAGTACCAAATTTACATTTCTCCAATACTTTTCGGTCCGGTCCAATACTTTCTAAGAAAGGAGAATTCTATATACCCTCTCCCTCCTTGTGACACTCAGACTCCGAATAATAAATGCACCAGTGGCGAGGTGTGAATGATCGATTATCGATATTTCTTCATCTGAATCTATGACAAATAATAATCGATTATTAAGGTGCTCGTTGCAAATATCCTGTTTATCGATCCTTTTCTGTAAGTTTGAATGGCAGATCAATCTATGTATCGCAAAGCACGCCACGACACTGAAATGCTCATATCAGGCGTGAGTTAAAGGGATCGAATGCAAGACATTTCCGTTGAACTAATTTCTTTCACTCAAGCTCCTGAGTTCTTACAATAAATTCAAGCTCCCGTATCAAGTATCACATTCACATTCCCTTCCATGTGAATTTGCCCCATTTTAAAATTATATATCCGACGTACGTTTTCTGGAATCGGTATTCACATTTGGACTCATTTCTGTCAAACGGAACTATGTGCATTAAGACGTGAGCCCTGAGGCCCTTAAGAATACATGCATACGAGGGCTTACGTCATAATGCACATAGTTCCGTTTGACAGAAATGCGTCCATTTAATCCAAGGCCAACGTCATAGATAGCTATTGTTTCAAAAGTTCAACGTTGTTTAATGCGACATGCAGCATACTTTACGGACAATCGACCTGCGACATAGTACGTGAATCAACTGCGGCTGAAATAATGTGTAATGCTCCGTGCCATCAGGCTCCTCCAAGTCCTCGTGTCATGTTTCTATTGAGAAAACATTCGAAACATTAAGGCATGCAAGATCAGATCTAAAAATATTCACATTACACGGCCACGATTTATTTTAACTTTCCGTTTCTCGGATTACTGGAAAAAAAATCGATACACATCAGCTGGCTAGTGATTTCTGAGCTCTACTGTAACGTCAAGTCCACATTTAAAAAATGTGAACGTCTGCGGCGCTGCAAATCGCTCCGTCTTTTTTTTAGAAAATGCAGCAAATGGTTGAAAAATGCTCAAATTTTCTTCTACTTATGGGCAGATTGATTCTTTTTGCGTGCTTCTAATTTATGAATTGAAACAAAGATACCTATGGATACTCTTACTGCGTGTTAACGGTGAAACCACAAAAATACAAATCTCGAATGCGATTTTTAAAATTACCGTTCCGCTATCTCTTCATTTTATTCAGAGAAAATTAGTAGACATTTTCGACAATGAAACTATGTGTAGAGTTAGGAAGAATCACACGCAATTTTATCATTTAATCACGATTATCTTTATTCTTCAACAATGTTTATAATAGCAAATCTGAAACATCGGAAACACAGATGAGTGGTTTGATAGTTTCACCATCAATACGTTAGTCATAATTTTGGTTGTTTTTTTATTAAAAAAGAAAAGAAAACAATGCGTGGGAAATTTTTAATTATAGCAATGTAAATACGCGTTTTCCAACTTCAGCCATGTATCTTTTCCCCTTCAGTTGTTCAGGTATACAACCCGCTTTCCTAGAAGTTGAAATAGTGGTGCCCCCATTACTTTCCGCAACTGCCTGCCCATCAATCTCTCGGGGCTTGGGTCTTTTTACCATGATAGAGTCAGGCTCAGTTCTATATGTGGTTATATTATTAGAGAGCCTGATTCCAATGACGACAATAATAGATCAGCTTTAGTCTGTAATCAGGCAGTGGGAAAGGAATGTGGATTATTTTGAAAATTGTTCTAAAATGTCATTCGACTGTCATCAAAATTTCATGAATTTCAAACGGTTAAAAATTGAGAATGAATGTAAATTATGTTATTTTTCGATTAAGTTACCAGAATTCTAATGAGAAAAAATTGTGTTTTTTCAGGTCTTCGAATTACAACAGCGTAACAGGCGAGTGCTGCTTGAACGACGTTGATCGATTCACGCTACCGGGACCTCACAATGCCGACACGGAGCCCAACAAGCAAGTTGAATACCTCGAGTCAAACTGCGTCAACGAGCCTATCAAAATGTGCGATTTCACTGAGATCAGTGGCAAAATTCTGAAAACCGTTGACGTCGTCTACCAGGATGTGGAAAGTCTCCACGTTTGCCAAAATTTGTGCTTGCAGTCAAAAGACTTTCGGTTTGTATTTAAATGATCATTTGAACTATATTTTGCAATTGAGAGCTATAATTTCTGCCTCGTCTGTAAAAACACCTATGTTCATAGGGAAACTAATGGTACATACGTTGTTTCTAAACTGAGCCAGTAATTATAGTTTCTAATTGCAAAAAAAATCCATTTCAACCTCCAAAAATCACACAGAATTCACAAAGCAAATTTAAGAAAATGGAACAATGTTGATTCGCAGTTTATAAATATTTCCACTTAGAATTTTGAAATAAAATTGTCACCGTATGCCTTTATGTTAAGAGAATATCAGATTAAGATCGACGTAGGAATTCCATCCATAGGTGGTTGCGGAGAGGATTCTTATGGGTTTCCCGGAACCCGCGAGCCGAAATAAAAAGCTGTTACCAAAATATCGACAAGATAGTTTTATTCGTAGACTTTTGTGCAGGAAAAATGAATAAATATAATTCGATTACCTCTTCGCATAAAACTTTAAAACACTCTAAAGTAAAACACTAAAATAAGGGTGAAATATCCGGTTTAAACTCGACTTTTGAACAGCATCAATCGGAAAAAAATAAATGCAACGTTGACTCAGTTTTGCGAAGTTTAGAAAATGCTCTCGGGGTTGTTTGGGAAACAAATTGTTCAAATTGGTAATAAGAGTTTTTTATTTTAGTAATATCGCAATTCAAACTTCCAGAAATAGCTCTTTGTCAAACTGCTCCTCAACTTTTTTAAAATGAGACAAGATTTATTTCTGCTAATTGCTTCATTCTACGTTTATAATAATCTTAAAATAATTTCTTTGGGATAATGAAATCTTAAAATTTACCGCGGGAGGTCCCACCCACAATAAGGATCTACACTGTCTCTAGCTCACATGTAAAACCACCTCTTCCATCATCTGCATAGACATGCCATAGGTACATATTATGTCGCTTCTAAATTGAGCAAGAGATTAAGGTTCCCTTTTCGGAAAGTGTGGGCCAAATGGACTCCTGTGTAGCCACTGATTGAGATACCAATTGCTCACGGCCGGCCGCCGGCAAATCCAATAATCGAGCCAACCGCGTGGCTGAGCCGAGCCGTGACAACAATAACTCGCCTTCAATTTCGAATAATACAATTTTTCATGCATAATCGCGATTCGTTCAGCACGGCACTCTGCCGAAGCTCCAATTCAAACCGTTGTAAGTCGCCTGTGAAGGAGCCATGTCAGCATTTATTGAATGTGAACACCAAAAGTCTTGAACAAAAAAATAAAATAAAGGAGACGACAGAGAAGAAGAAAAATAAAAAATTGGAAAAAGAGAAGGGAAAAGAAAAAACAGAGAACAGAATGAAGAGAAAATCAAGCAAAGAAACAAGACAAATAAAAGAAAGAACAAATAAGATAGAAACGAAGAGGAAAGAAAAAAATAATCGTTGGTTTTACGATACTTATAGTTTTTTCAGGTCAGGTCTTTCCCACTTTTTTCGTCATAATTACCATATTATCATGTTAAAAAGTGACAGTGCCCCATTGTTACCGGTACTGAAATAATATTGCGGCCATAAAAATGAAATTTCAATTTGGAGCAGGAAAGTAGGTTGTACCTGGAATCCTTTAAAAGCAATGTGAGAACAATTATACTATTTTCTGCACAACTGCTGTTAGTACTGGGTCTTTGAAATGTTCGTTTTTGGTGACACTAAAAAGGAAATTGTAACTAGAAACAGAAAAGTAGGTTGTAAGTACCTAGAATCCTTTGCAAGCAATGTGATGGCAACAATGCTATTTATTTAAAGCTATTGGTTCTTGGTCTTTGAAATTTTCGTCTCTGCACAAAAACTCTTTGCTGCGGATCATTAGAATCCACTTATACTGGATGTTTACGTCTGTTGATAGGTGTCACACGGTAGACTATGGAGACACCGGCGGTAACATATGCCGGCTGTCACATCACACGACGTCGAGCCTGCAACACATCGACGAACCGTATCTGGAGATGGCCAAGTCGACGACGTACCAACTCACGGCCTGCTACAACATTTCGGTCGACTGTCGCGGGGCCGACATGGTAGCCCGAGTCCACACCAACAAGATGTTCAGCGGGAAAGTCTACGCCAAGTCCAGACCCAACTCCTGCGTCATGGACGTCGATAACAGCCTCGACTTCGAGCTCCACCTCGGCTACCATGATCTCAACTGTGACGTCAAACAGGACGCACCTGGCAAATTCACTACTGATATTATCATTCAGGTAAGTTGCCCTAGGATCATACCGCTAGGACCAGAGAGTAGGCACTACTGGCTTCTCGAAGCGGCCCGGAAAATTGCCGACAGACCAGCCCATCGCGGTGCTGCGGTGGTCCCTCCCCCCCCCNCCCCCCCCCCCATAGAGGAAAAAAAGGAGGTGTTTGCATTTCGGGCATCTTGGAATTTTTTGATGACTTGATGGCGTAGATGGGTACAGCGACTTTTTTATCCTGTCGATTTTCTTGGAAATGATGTAATTTAAGGAAAAAAGTCATTCTATAAAAAGTGCTTGAAATTATATAATGAGTTGATTTAAGTAAAAAAAATCGGACATTATGGTCCGTTTTTCATATTTAGCTAAACGTCGCTGTACCCACCTACGTAATCAAGTCATCAAAAAATTCAAAGATGCCCGAAATGCAAACACCTCCTTTTTTTTCTCTATGCCCCCCCCCATAATTTTTCGACATTCGCCATAGACGTGCTTTGGTCATTTTGCGAAAATTGCCGAAGTTACAGGATAGATTGGGAGAGTTCATTTTTGTGTGAATATGATACCGAGAATATCTTTCTGGGAATTTTGCCGCATTCGTGGTATAGAAAAGTGTCCACTTCCTCAACCTGGAAGTTTGCAAAGTTCGGCGTTTTTCGGACGATAGAATATAACATCATTCGATCTGCGATAATTTTCTCCCTTAGACTATGTTTTTACCGGAAAACATATAGGTGTGCAAAATCTCTATAATCCTGTGATCCTAATGTTGCGAGCTCGCGATGTGCACTATTCGGAAGAAAATACGACTTTTCAACGACTTGAGCGCGCACCGTGGTATACGCGCAATGCTTGAAGTAGGTATCCTGCAGCCTTGTAAGGCGCTACTACGGGTCGGGCGCGCGCCGTACTGTACGCGCAATGCATGAAGTATCCTGCGGTCTTGTAAGGCGCCACTATGCGTTCCGTGCCAGCCGGCGGCGGCCGTCATAGAGTACATAGAGTCGTAATGTAATTGGGAGAGCTGGCGCCACTTTTAAGCATTTTCCATGTCCCGAATTCCGAGACTCCTGTGTGACGCCGGGTCACTTTTTCGATACATAATCGATTGTTTGCGATACACGGGTACCCGGCCATCCGATGACAACAACAACAACAACAACGAAGGAGATAGGAATCACCATGTATTCCACACCGCCATTTTGGATCGAAAATGTATCGAAAAAGTGACCCGAACTCGGCGCACACCGGGCTCGGAACTCGTCGAGCAGAACATGGCGCCAGCTCTCCCATTTACATTACGACTCTATGTACTCTATGGCGGCCGTGCACGCTATCCCTGCGCCGGCCGCACTGTGTTTGACGTGATTATTCGAGCTTGCAGTGACAGCGGTTTCAACTTATGATTTTGAAGTTTTTGCACAGTTTGTTGGAATTATTGTCATTTCAAATGATTAAGCATTACATAAAATCCCACCACTTAATTAACATCGACATGAGCTTTCAATATTTCTTCATTTTGTTCTATTCCTCTCATTGACTCGAGTTTTCTAGGGATATACTTCGACCGCTTTTAGCAGAAAGGAACCAAGCCACATCACCCATTATATTTTTACAAAAGAACGTTTTATGCTGTTTTTTTTCTCTTTTTTTAACTGTTAAGGAATTTGCTTCGCACTGTGCAGAGCAGAGAATTCACAGTTTGCACAAAAATTCGCACAATCGTTTTCATGTAGAAAATTAAGATACCCCATTAAATTTGGGAGTAGCTGCTGTGACTTGGTTCCTGCTTGGTTAACGCGGTCCACTTACGATTTGAACGATAAATGGCGACAATGGAGAATTTACATGCAAATTTTTTATTGATTCATCTTAAAGTGCTTAACGTGCTGATTTCACAGTATTTTTAGAATTTTTTTTCTGATAAGGGAAATAGTATAAAAATAGATTTAAAAGTGAGAAAATGCACCGCAGATGACGTCCATCCGGAGGCATTTCCCATTTGATCACACGTGTTTTAGAGGCCCGGTTACACGCTCAAATTTCCGTAAAATTCCAATCAAAATGATGACCAAGATGTCGGTCGAGAGTTATCTAGATTGATGAGTAAAATCAATTAAAACAGCGTGTCGATTGAAATAAGCATGAAATAAGCACGGTTGTGTGGAAATCAGATGAAGGATGAGCCCCACAGCTCCATCATCTACCATCAAATTTTTGCAGGCCGCAGAAATTTGATGGTAGATGGCGCGCACCAGTCACCATTTGATCGAAAATTGATGGAAATTTGAGCGTGTAACCAGCACATACCAGATCATTTTGTCCTATCTTCTCCAATAATTGTTCAATTCATGAACCAAGGGTATCTTCGTGTTAAGTCCACTCAGTAGTTTCCTTTTAAACACGAAATTCATCAAATTTTAGACACCTGCAAATGGGTCACTAAACCTTGTTTATTTTATTGAATATTCTGAAAGTTCTATGTGAGTAGATAACGTGGTGATTTTTTCGTATTTTTGCGGAGCCGAAATCGCGGAGAAAACCGCTTTTGAAAAATCTAAAAACTGCAAGACATTTCAAACGCACCCGAATGGCGGGAAACTGACGGTGTTGATGTACTGCGGTAGTCATTTCGCAGTCTCCTCTCATTTTCCTCTGATGTTTGTTAAAATAAAACGTAATTCAATGTGGAATTGTTGCGTGTTTATTACAGCTAACATATGAATGAGATTCGATTTTTGAATTCAAAATATATAATTTCGACTTTAGTATTGTTCTCATATACGAAGAGTAGATAGACATTTGACTGACGTCGTGGAAACCCGTGCCCGCTTCTGATTGGTGCCGGATGACATCATTCGGTGCGGCGCGAAACTGGGGCTTTTTAAATTTGCGTATAAGTTGAGCGGTTTGAACTGCACATTTCTTGGTTATTGAGTTACTTGTTCGCGTTTTTAATGTGCGCGTCGTGTTCTATGCGTCATTTTCCTTCAGAAAACTATATTCGCAAGTCAAAATTCGTTCATGGTTTAGTGACCCATTCTCTAAAAAAACAAATAAAAAAACTTGTTTTTTTTTTTTTTTTGTTTCAGCACCACGACCAAATAGTGACGGGTCAAGACGTGGGGCTCTCGGTCCGGTGCTCGTACAACCTCCAGAACCGGAGCGTCGGCCACGGGATGGAGCTGGCAGTGGCCGGGGAACCGGAGCCGGCGCACAGCGAGGAGGCGGCCTTCGTCATCTCGCCGACGGTGACGATGCGCATCACCGACCGGAAAGGGGACGACATCTACACGGCCCAGGTCGGCGACGCGCTGAGCCTCCGCTTCCACATCCTCGACGACAACTCCCCGTACCAGATCTTCGTGCGGGAGCTCATCGCCCTCGACGGCGTCGACTCCAGCGAGATCCTCCTCATCGACTCCATGGGCTGCCCCACGGACCCGACCATCATGGGCCCCATCGTCACCGTCGAGACCACCAACGGAGCTCAGATCCTCGAGGCCCCCTTCGACGCCTTCAAGTTCCCCACCTCGGACGTCGTCCAGTTCAAGGCCTTGGTCACCCCGTGCCTCCCCAAGTGCGAGCCGGTCGTCTGCCACGTCGAGGACTACTACGGCATCGCCCGGAAGGTCGATTCCTTCGGGCGCCGCCGAAGAAGTATCGACAGGAAGCTCTTGGAGAAGAGTCGACGCCGCCGGAGCATGGACCCGGAGATCCCGCTGGAGAAGGACGAGATCGTCTACCAGAGCATCCGCATCGAGGATAAGTTCAAGTTCGATAAGCCCTCCTGGAAACAACAACAACATCAACCGGATAGCGTCCAGTTTTCCGGTTCGGGCTCGGGTGCGTTGCCCGACTCGTCGTGCATGAACATGACGGGCGTCGCCGTGGCTGCGGTCCTCCTCGTCTCCACGCAGATCTGCTTCGTCATGTTCTGCATACTGCTCTGGCACAAACGAAAGTCGCCGGCCAAGGAGGATAAATTGGAGCCCGTCACCGGTGATTCCGTTTCCTTCCCGTGGAATCAGTTCTACAGGATATCTTAACACGCGCTAACGGTCTCCCCAGAGCGCAAGCACCGTGAATCGTAGTACTCGCAGGCAGAGACGTGGCGTGCTTTGCGATATATCGATTGATCTGCCATTTAAACCTATTGAAAAGGATCGATAAACAGGGTGTTCGCGACGAACACCTGAATAATTGAGTTTTTCCCATATCTTCAAATGGAAAATATCGATAATTGATCATTCACGCCTCGCCACTACTCGCAGGTTGAGAGATGAGGACTCCGACCCAAGAAAAATTATTTTACGGAACCAACACGACCGAAGTTGCAATAATCGCGACGCGTTGCGACTCCATCGGTAAATTATTGCAATTATGTCGACCATTCCAAGTAGCAGTGATCGAGATAAATAGCGATTTTATTGGTTGGGTATCGCGATTACATCGGTGGCAATATATCGAGATATCATCGCAATAAAAATTGCGATATATGACGATTGAATCGCTACACATCGCAATTTTTGGTTTGATAAAATCGTGATCAATTTTCGTCGATAAAATCGAGATTAAATCGCCATTTGTCGCGATTTTTATTTCGAAAATATTGTGATAAATTGTCGGGCGATAAAAGCGCGATACCGAGGATACTCGCTCAGATGTTGATGATCCTGGCGATTTTGATGGTATTATACCGATATGAAAATCGCAAATTTATTGCGTAAAATTGTAAGTTGGAATATAAATTGTTGCGGGAAAAAAGTAGCGACGAAGTAGGTAAAATCGCAATTTTTTTTTAAGGATATCGCAACTTTTCCTCGGAAAATTCTACTTGGGAATGGTGCCGAGGCATGATGCCAAGTGACTTTCGTTGAGTAACCTTAATCTTCACCTGATATTGACTGATCACTAATGTATTGAACAATGGATTTGACGAATAGTTGTTCAGCGCATCAGTCATCATCAGGTGGAGATGAATATCGTTGCCCTTGCGGGAAGGCTGAGTTCCTGAGGTGGATTTTGCCTTGCTATAGTACATTTCCTGAATTGGTAATGCGTGATGTTCAAAATATTTTGTCATACTAGGAGTGATCATCAAGCAACCCCACTTCGTACTATGAATTTAGGGCACCGATGCCAAAATCTTTCGGATTTCTACAGGTGTTCCTTCGTTTTTGTTTTTTATTCTAAAAAAAAAAATAATAAATAATCCAGTGTAACTTTAAAAACTCACATAAAAATTGAATATTAAAAAGGATAGTATTGTTCAAAGTCAGAGTACCTGTAATTCAAAGTATATTTAAGTGGAATAGTAATTGAAAGTACATTGAGTTTCAAAAAACTGAACAAAGAGCTGGAAACATCCGGAAAAAAAAACTATGAAAATATTAGTATGAGCTTAGAAAAGGAACTGAAACGCAAAAGATTTTGTCTAAAGCGGCAAAACAATGTGTTTCGATTACCCTTAGCGCTCCTGACATCATAAAAGATACTTAGTCCTTTTACGGGACGCGAAATAAGTTTAATTGATCATGTTTTATGTATTGTCTGTATTGTAGTTGTTTTCTTTTCTTTTTTAAGTGAAAGCAAGTCATTTTTTGTTCGAAATGAATTGCATCAGCATACTTAAAAGTCAAGCTATAACTTTGAATTTCCCTACACGAACGAATAGGAAAAAATTAAACATACTATAACATAATATTCCATTACCTTATTTTATTCTTTTTGGTGCATTTATATTGATTTAGATTTAATTGAAAACCAGCCTGTTCTTATAACCTAAAAATAAGTGATTTTTATCATGTATACCAAAGATTTTACCATCATAAACTCAATATGTGAAAGGATTATTCCTAGTTTCGACTTCAAACTTTGAGACGGACTATACAGGGTCGTATCAATTTACAGTGCCTTTTTTAGCTCAAAGGCTCCCCAACAAACGTTACTAATCGTTACTAAATCGTTACTATTCAAATTCGACTTTTCAATGAATTAGGTAAAGAGGTTGTTTTCATGCCGAATGAAAGAAGGCATTCTTCGGAATCAGGCAAAAAAGTATTGGAAATCCATCTCCGTAAATCCTGAGAAGAAGGTACATGAAGTGATGGTGACAGGTGGAAATGTCCAATAAAAAATGTCCAATAAACAAAATGTCCTATTTAAAATGTCCAATTGTCATAATGTCCGGGACAAAATTTCCAAAAGCTAAAATGTCCAGAATTCAAAATGTCCTATATGCAAAATGTCCCATTTGCAAAATGTCCCTTATGTCCCATAGGTCCACATATATGCAAAATCAAAATGGCTTAACATCAGCTTACGTAATGCCTCAAGCCTCTCCTTCTTCGTTTTCTTCTTCAATTCTTTTGGGTTTCTTCAATCTGTAGGAAATGGCTCTCAGATAAACATCAACCGCTTCATCTTCCTTGTATTGCCCATAGCTAGCCACGATACTTTCCACTCTGGCTTGATTAGTGATATACCGGCAACTAATCGGATGTTTTATTTGAGTGTGACCACCTCGAATTTGCGTAATAAGCTGTTCTACGTCATTTTGTTCAGCTTGGATGTGCTCAATAAATCGCCAAATATTCACGTGGTGCGCTGATATTAGCCTCTGCAAAAAACTGTGCCACCCTTGTGCACACTTGTTTTACGCCCGTTTAAGTTTCGGACATTTTAGGTTTTGGACATTTTGGGTTTTGGACGTTTTAAATTTTGGCCATTTCAGCTTCTGGACATTTTGTCGTGGACATTATGACAATTGGACATTTTAACCAGGACATTTTGTCTCTTGGACATTTTCCATTGGAAGTGATTCGATTTTCTCATTTCGGGGATCAGCGAATAAACAACAGAATCCCCATTAGTATGGCTTCATTACGTTACAGAAAGGATTATGAATTCGGCCGTACAGATGTATGAGAACCACGAGAACCTTAAAATCAAAGCACCTGTGAATGATAGCAAATATGAGGTTCAATGGGTTGAAATAGAATATGAAAACCTACAGGTAGGTATTCAGGCCATGGACGATGACTTTTTGGAGAGAGCCTTTGAGCTGAATCGGTGCCCACTCTGTATGAGAATTCTACGGTTCTCACACAGGGTATAGTAACATGAAAGAGAATATAGCAATGTCATCTGTGTTTGATCTTTCTTTTTAAGTCAGAGAGAATGAAAATTATTTTTTGTCGAATGAGATACTTGCCTAAAAACCTTATCTTTGATATTAATTGTACGGTCTCCAGAACACTAGATCTTTATACCATTTCTTACCCTATGTATGAACAAAATATTAATGAGCTCTTGTTTCCTTTATCTGTCGTTTTTGCCTGAACAATTCTCAACGGACCTTATCACTTTTTTATCTCAAAGTTTTGAAGCACGAAACAGTTACTACCAGCAAGTTTCCTATAGAGGGACTGAGTTTCAAAAGAGAGACCAAAAATTTCCATGGATATCCATGAGACTGCAAGCATGGCGAAAACTATAGGTACGGAAACTACGTTGAAGATATTTTGTTTTTGCGTTGAATGTGTGATAAAGACGCCCAAAAAGTGAAACAAGTTAGTTACTGTAGCTAATCCAGTCCCAATAGCTCTACAAATTCCCGTGTTTGGGAGAAATTCCGTGCAGTTTTATAATCTGATCTAAGTTTTACATAAGTTTGTACATAAGACGTAGGTGCATAAGTATACGTATAAGAATAACTTCGCCAATAAAGCCTTAAAAGTGCCTGTTGTAAATATGTAATGTCAATTTTTTGATGAATAAAACGTAAATGAATCGTGATGAGTCTTTTTTTTTTTTTTTTTTCCAAGCAAATTATCCTTATTTGTCTGGACTTTTTTCCTAGCTGAAAAAGGATGAGGCCTTTTTCTTTGCATTGTAAAATGCATAGTTAAAATGAAATGATAAGGATCACGAATCAATCATGAATTTAGTTATTTTTATAATGTTGTTGTTCTGGTCCTCTACTTCGTTAGATCTTCCTATGACCATCTGCCGTGGAAAATTTTCAGACGCCCTCGTAGCAATAACCTTAAAAAGACAATTTTCCAAGACTATTAAAAAACTGATCGAAACCTTGCCTCTTCCGTGAAAAATCATCTCCGTCGCAAAAAGCTACAAGAAAACAGCTATCTCGACACTCATACTGATCTGGAATTATCGACATTGAATATCTGAGTGACGAATCTCACTCTCTGTGTGGCATCACACATCACTCAGTTTTAAGTGGATCAGTGCTAGCAGTGAAAATAACCCAGACATTCATGATGTCACATTTTCTAGTATGTTCATTATCGCTCATGTTTGTAGTTCTGCTTCTACAGACTCATTAAGTACACTGAAAGATGCTGCTGTTCCTTATGAATGCATCAATCAGGAGATATGTGGATTTTGGTTGCATGCCATAAATTATGTGTCCTGCGCCCCTGATCATGACCTGTGTGAAATGTCTTGCCGTCTTGTAGTACCCAACCACTCGATCTTTTATTCGAAACTGGCACCTTTTAGCGTTGTAATACTCAGCAGCACCAGGCCAGCGCAGCGAACTGAAGAATTCTTCAAAGACGTGGTACGGAAAGTTCATATCCTGTTGGCCAGTTAGGTACAGAATCCCTGTAACAGCAAAAAATCATTCATTTGGCCGACAGTTAATATTTAGGCATGCATACCTGATAGAAATGCCTTGCATCCATTTCATTCGTTTCGACCCCCGACTGATACAGTGTGTCAACTCCTCCAAGTGCTCGTGGGGAATCGTGTAGCGGACTTGCTCTAAATTTTGTCGATCTTGTCGGATAGCAACGAATGCCTCGATCATTCAAGATGATGCATTTTTGCCAGCCCCTTTTCTAGCTATAGTTCCTATCACCGGGCTTTACACTTTATCGCCTGGCTGTTGCTTTTTCGCCGTGGATTATAAAAGGCTATGAGAAATTGTGTAGAAATTCGTGTGCTTTGGAATGGACCACTAGACAAGGTACGAATTTAAGCAATCTGATACATGTTTCTCAACCAGGATTTCACGTAAAACACGATTCACACTACGAAAATTACCGAAATCAACTTCTAACGAAGATATTAACGTTTTTATTTCGCACTGATTACGAGGAATTTGAACTGCCCGCTCACAAGAAACTCAAAGCTCTACGTGAGTCAAATCGCCCACTACAACGGTTTCAGCAAGCTTCTCAATCGAGCAATGTTCATTTTCCACCATGTGTTGTTCAAACTATTGGTAATTTGCTATAGCTGAGCCAAAGTGTCAAGATTGAAGTTGAAGATTTTTACATCGCAGAGACTGTCATGATAAACATTTAGTGCGCGATGTGAATCACGTAGAGCATTGAGTTTTCATGAGCGGGTGGTTTGAATTCACGCATCAAGAATCATTAAATATCTTCGTCAGGAGTTGATTTTGGTAATTTTCGTTGTGCGTATCGTGTTCTACGTGAAATTTTGGTTGAGAAACATGTATCAGAATGCTGAAATTCGTACCTTGTCTAGTGGTCTATTCATTAATAAAAGAACAATTCAACAACAACAGTGATACGGAACACGTTTGATACGGAACCACCTTCATATTTACAAAACACACATTATATTTTCCTTTAATACATATTTTTTTTTCATCAATTTAAATGAGAATAATCCATACAGGATGTGCAAACATTTCAAAATCATGGGTTGAATAACGCTGACTCCGCCAGATTAAATATTACAGCCTGACACAAAGCGGAGCGGCGACGCACTGGCGCCTACAAACCTAACAGGAATACTTCACGCATTGCGCAACGCGTGAAGTATCCCTGTTAGGTTTGTAATTGTAGGCGCCAATGCGCGTTCCGCGCTGGCTGCCCGCCTGCCGCGCCGCAGCGTGCCACGGCCCACGGCGCTTGAAGCAACTATTTCACACCAGAGGTATTGCACAGCATCATACGAAACTGAAGGCGCTCTAATGTATTAGGAATGGCAGGCATCCATCAAAAGTACGGAGCTTTCCTCGCAAAATAAATCAAGATACTGCGGTCCAAAAAGAGAGCAGTAGTCCAAAAACTCACTAAGTCCTAGCATCCGTAATTAGTAACGTTTAGCGTGCACTGTATCGCCTGGCTGTTGCTTAATCGCCATCGGCTATAAAAGGCTATAAGAAATTGTGTAGCCGGCTATAGAAGCTATTAGAAATCTTCCAGCCGGCTGTAGGTCTATGGTATTTTTGAACACATATTCTACTGCCCATTTTTACCAGGGGCCTTCGATAATCATCACATTATTATTCGTGAATCACTCATAGTAAAAAAAAAAAATGTTCTTTCTTATACCAGCACTGTCATCGCTCTTCAGTTTTAATTACCCATCACGATGCGAAAATTCAACTACGTTCCCGCCACAAAGATGTTTCAAAGTGGATCTTCAGCTTTCGCGCAACGCATTCTAGGTACGATCGATATATTCCAAATTTTAACGTATATAAGTGGATTATTTTCGGAAAATAAAAATTTTAGTCAATAGATAATTCACTGAGGAATGTTCGTGCCGAAAATCATCTTCCAAGGTCTTAAAAAGAGTAAAAAATACTCGTAATAAAAGAACAACTTAATTTGGGGAAAAGGCTGCAAATAAAGAAAAAAGAATAAACAAAACCCGGGACGTTTCAAAATAATAACAATTTCATTATCAACCGGAAAAAAAAATTAAAAACAAAAACGAGCCGTCGCTCCGCTGTAATTGCGAGACCGAGACTCTGAAAAAATACTGTTTCCAAGTAGCCACCGAATTGGATACATTGAAATTGGTTGCAAAATGAAGACAGTACTTTTAACTTTATCTAAAGATGTTGGACAAAGATTTTCGACACGGCAATATTCCCTGATGATTGATCTACCGACTGAAGTTTCGATTTTCCCTAAATAACCCACCAATATAGTTTTTGAAATATATCGATTGTACCCAGAATGTGGTGCACAAAAGCCAAAAAGCCACCTCATGAAATAAATAACTCGTGTGAGCAATGGGACTGGAATCATGAAATCACCTAACTCACTATTGCAGGCCGCAGCTGGCAGTTCCGATGAGCTTGCTATGAAACATGGTACGCCCGGTAGATGAGCTATTAAGAAGGCTGAATAGATAAACCTAGTTTGCTAAGTTCAATACTTTTATAAGTGGAATGTCTCAGATCGTACCTGAACTCAGAGAGTCGTTTGTGAGGAGACTTTCCATAGTGGATCTAGCCGATCGTGCAAGCTCAGGTCTCATAAGAGCTGCGATCGTCTTCCCGTCGTTGTAAGCACGGTGTCCCGCGTGCAGAGCCCTGCGGGTTTCAGGTAGGTTAAAAAAGTGTTCCTCTGTGCTATTCGGACTTCGACTGAATTCATCGCGCATAAATTCAGATCCATGCTTGAACCCGGTCACCCTGATCAAGTCGGACCTCTCAGCTTCCCGTTCACTCTCGACAGCAGCGGAGTCATTGGCTCTGAGGAAAGCCGCTATTCTATCCTCTCGATCTGAAAATCTAGGAGAGATCTTGAAAATTAATGATTAGATAGATGACTCAAAATTCGAATCTCAAAACCGGTGTTCGAAACTCACCTTTGAGTTTTAGGAGCCATGTGGCGCATCAAGCCCGATTTTTGGGCGCCATTGAAGATTTTTTAGGGGCCAAATTGACTTTTTGCCTCTATATTACGGCGCAGTTAGTGAAAAGTTAGACGCAAGATATTTCCGTAACAGAACTAGTAAGTAGCTGTAACTTAGAGAAGACAAAAGCACTAAGGATGAAATCGTGAAGAATAGAAGAGGCTTTCACTTGTAGTGCTGAAAATTTCGAATAATCACCAAATATGAGAATTCTGATTTTTAGGGGGTAATTTTTTGGGGCCATGTTGGCGCAGAACCATCACTTTTTAGGCGCCATGGCCGATTTTTAAGGCGCATTTGGCGCGTTGGCGCCTGTGAGTTTCGAATACTGCTCGAAACTAATGATTGTTGAAATTTTATGTTCGTCGACCCCTTAAGAAAAGGCAAAGGAAAATGGAATTTTTTATCTGTAAATGATCGATGCTCTGTGTCGTGAACTTTTTACGTGATTTTTTCTCATGAAAATGCATCCTCCTGCCTCTCAAGTTTGACCGCCATCTTGGATTGTGGGCATCAACTTTGACCAGAGGCTATTAACACTTCAAATATGAAATCTGCGACCAAAATTACTTGCGGAGAAAGACACCTCACATGACACGATGTGCACATGTGAAAATACCGATATCCTAGAGGTCTTATATTATGGCCGTCATTTTGAATTTTAGACGTTTTGGGGGTGTTGCAGGGTCGAAGAGTGGTAAAATTTTAGGATACTGTTCAGGAAAACCAACTGGCGACGTTTACACAAGTTTTGATCACATGTTATATTTTTAACGTCGTTCTAACGCGTCGCCAGAACGTTGCAAATGCAAGGCCCCCTGCCCCCTCCCTGCCCACCCTGCCCCTCATGGGCTTAGAATGTTGGGCTAACTTGCAAAGTGAACTCTCCATAAAGGTAAAGATGATATCCTAAAAGTCTCATGCTTTCTTCCAGAATTCATGATTCTGCGAACTTTTTGCCCTCATCTGCCTTACTATACGAAAGACTGTTGATCCTTTAAAATTGTCTGTGAGGAAGTGTTGGATCACCGAGAGCAAAAGCTTTCCACCTGTCACCAAGCACAGGGCCGGATTTACCTACTAGCCGCCCATGGGCCGCCTGTATTTTGCCGCCCCCTTCTCATTCGTTTTGAAACATCAACAAAAACCATCAAGTGAACATGCCGGAGGGGGAGAGGTGCATAAGACGCGTTTACTCGTGTTGGAAACATTTTTTGGGAAAGCCCTGTCAACACTACTAGCAAAAATTCACCGAACTTTGCGCGAACGTTAAGTTTCGTAAACCCATCTCTGCGTGGACAAGGCCTTCCATTCTTAAGAAATGAACGAAAAACTTATGAAAGAACAAACATAAATGTGGTTTAATGATTTTAACTTCCGCCGCCGTGCCGCGCAGACCGCACCGTGTTTGGAGCAATGCGTGAAGTATTCATGCATTCTTGTAGGCGCTATCCGTTTCACGCTGACCGCAGTGGCCGCATTGTGTTTGATGCAATGCGTGAAGTATTCGTGCAGTCTTTTAGGAATGTAGGCGCTAGTATGTGTTACATGCCGACCGCTGCGCCGAGAGCTTCTCCTTTTCATCTCAAGTCCTCGTCATCATTTCTCTCTCAGTCGCGCCGTTCCTGGCCAAATTGCGTGTTTGGTTTTGGTCTTCTCTCTTAACTCGACTAATTAAAGGTGCTATCTCTTGTATCACCGAAAGACGACAAAATTAGAAAGTACTATACTCCCAGGAAATGAGAGATTTTGTTTGTAATTTTTTTCTAAATCCGATTTTTTTCTATACCTACATTTAAAAAAATTGCAAAATTTGCCGCCGCCTAGATTTGCCGCCATGGGCCGCGGCCCATGCGGCCACCCCCTTAATCCGGCCCTGACCAAGAGGCCAGTGAAGGGTCTCTTGTCTCTAGTTACGCCACAGGGTGAAGCCACGCACGATTGCGCAGCCGCACAGACGACGCTTTTAGGTAATGCATTATATACATGGACAACCCACCTTGTCCGNATTTTGGACCTCAAATTCGGATTCTACGACCAAAATTACATAAGAATTGACCCCAATCATGACATCAAAATCAAATTCCATAATTTTCACCCCCCGAGCCCCCATTTTGGCCGCCATCTTGATTTTGGGGGGTTGGACGCAAAATTGAGCTTGACAACATCGAAATTCTTTTTTTACGCATCGAAATGAAGAGATTAAGATATTTTCCACACTTGCTTCACTTACCGTTCCACGGGAAGCTTTTTTTGAACATAAGAACCTGGACTACCGGTTCCGACCGGATTGTCGATGAAAAGCACGTTGTAATCGCGTGTGAGGGAGTACGCACGACGTCTCAAACGAAGTTTCTCATCCACGGAAAACGGACCAAGCTGTCGGAAAACTACGAACGCCGTTGTTGGGTTTCCCGGTTGGGCATCCGTCCACAGTACGAGAGGGCGTTTCTCCCAGTTTCCTCGCTGACTCCTGAAGAGCCAGAAGAAGACGTTCGCGTTGCAGGTCTTGTTAATGGTCAAGTAGCCGGAAAAACTGTGAATGTTCCTCATCATCGGTGACACCCTCGCTAGCCGCTGAGCTTCTGCGATTTGCCCGTTCTCTATGTACGGGGTTAAGAAGAGCTCGGTGTCCTCTGAATGTTCGTTAGGAGGAATTGCACAGACGAGACAAGAACTCATTAAAATTACGCAGACTGACATAGATACAAATCCAGGTGGTACATTAAATGCAGCTATTGACCACCGGTAGAAAATCTGAAAAGGGAAGTAGAAACGTGTTACAGTGCTGCATTTTTAGATACGGTATACAATTGTTCTTCATAGAGATGAGAGGAGAAATAGTGACAGTTTTTTCAACAATTTTACAACTAAGATGACATCATTTCTATAGAGGCGTATAAAGCGTCCATGCAGATCTACGTAATTTTTGCACTCTATTCCCTGAAAATCGGTTTAGGTAATGTGGTCAGTGCACGCCTATAAAACTATGTGTCATTTTAAGTTGGTAGTTTGGTATGGGTTTTTTTTTTTTTTTGTTTTTTTTTTTGTCTGAGGAGGGACTGGTCCTACTGGATCTACTGGGACTGGTTATAATTACATTATAACTGATCGCATAATCTGCTTTAATTTTAGTGAGGATAATTTTAGAATTATTAGAACGTAAACTGAGGGTAAGTTTTGAAAAATGGATGGTCTGGAAGTAAATGCAGTAAAATGTATCAAATGACGGATTTTGACGGAACTTCACAAAATTGTTACGAAAGGAGAAAAATAATTTTTGGGGTAGGCAGAAATAAATGACTCCTGTGACTCGATTTTTTTCTTCTTTTTTTTCCAAATTGCAAAAAGAAATGCATTCTATGTGATATATTTGTAGAGCTATTCATGAATGAGGGGTCATTAAGTAATACAATTCAAGAAAATAATTCAAGTGAAGAATATTATTTTTGGGGCAGGCATAAATAAATGACTCTTTTTTTCCAAATTGCAAAAAGAAATGCAATCTGTGATATATTTGTAGAGCTATTCATGAATGAGGGGTCATCAAGTATTACAATTCAAGAAAATAATTCAAGTCAAGAAAAATAATTTTTGGAGTAGGCATAAATAAAAGACTCCTGTGACTCGATTTTTATTTGTATTTTTATTTTTTTCCAAATTGCAAAAAGAAATGCATTTTGTTACATACTTGTAGAGCTATTCATGAATGAGGGGTCATCAATTTAAAATCGTGCGAAATTACGGAGGATTGCGAAATAGCTCCCGGACCTCCCAGGTCCAAAGTGTAAGGACTACAGGGTTATGAAACATACTAAAAATAATGAATTAAAATAAAGCTGTATTACATTGAAAAAGCCTTCTGCTATAAGCACATACCTGTTTTATATTGACTTCATCTGCAATAATCTGTAATAATTTTTCTCTCTCCACTTTAACTGCTAAGCGGAGGCAAAGTTCTGAACGTTGGGACACCGGCGAAGTAGAAAATTTCATTGTATGTTAGATGTCCCACACTGTAGACGATCAATCGACTGAAGTATGAACCGCGAAAATTATTTTCATTAATATCAATTCAGCGGGACTGTTGAGAATTTAAAGACCTAACGTCACGTATCGGAAGATGCGCACGAACCAGCTTTTAAGTGGTATAAGAAGTGTGGCATCATGTCTATACGATTAGGGAAGCAGTTGAAATTACTGAGGCATCTCAACTCTGCGTGCATATTTCTACAAATTTACTGCACTCAAGATAAGTGAATAAATGAGGTGAGTACCTACCCTGGAGTGGAGTGTCAAAATACACAGATTTTGGTTTTGATACATTTGTTTCTCAGTGAAGTTAATTTACAAGTGTTTTTCTTATCTTCCTGTTTAACGCGGCCCATGCCATGCTATAATTTCAGTTTTGTCGACGCCTCTTGAGTAGGTCAGTTGTCGAATCACTATCGATTAAACTTAGGATTAAGTAGAAACTTAGGATTATTACTCATTTGAAGTTCGCCTTCAATTTGGCAATATAGGCAACATACCTTCCGCGGAGCGCGAATTTTATGTTAATCTCACCCCATGAACTTTCAATTGACCATGCGTAAACTTATTGACAGCAAATGTGGTCTACTTTAGGTTCACCTTCAATTTTTCCGCTTTGACAACAAACATATCTACCATGGTGCGCGAATAGGTTTCTCTTCGAAAAACCCACATTTTAATCTCTCCATGAGCTTCTTTGATTGCTGAGCCGAAAAATGACTTGGTGCACTAGTGGTATAGATGTGTTCCTTGATGTCGTGCTCCTGCCATAATACTCACATTTTTCTGGCACCATGCGTGCTATTCCTCGCAACCATATTCCTGTTTTACGTAAAAATCGACATTTCTGGTCTGTATAACAATACCGAATCGTTGATCTACATCTACCGATCTACATAATCGTTTTACAAAAACCGGATGCGCAAAAATCAGCGTGACGTCAAGCAGGACCGGATTTACCTACTTGCTGCCTATAGGCCGCCTGTGTTTTGCCGCCCCCTTCTCGTTCGTTTTGAAACATCAACAAAAACCATCAAGTGAACATTGCCGGAGAGGGAGGGGTGCATAAGACGTGTTTACCTACTCGTGTTGGATACATTTTTTTGCGAAAGCCCTGTCAACACTACTAGCAAAATTTCACGGAACTTGACGCGAAAGTTAAGTTCCGTTAACCTACCTCTGTGTGGACAAGATCCTCCATTTATAAGGAATGAACCAAAAAATAATGAGAGAACAAACAAAAATGTGGTTTAATTTTTTTAACTTCCGCCGCCGCGCCGCGCTCCGCGCTGATCGCTCTGTGTTTGGCGCAATGCGTGAAGTATTCCTTCAGTCTTGTAGGCGCTATGCGTTTCACGCCAACCGCTCCTGACCGCGTGACTGCACTGGGTTTGGCGCAATGGGTGAAGTATCCATACAGTCTTGTAGGCGCTAATATGTGTTACATGCTGACCGCCGCGCCGAGGGCTTGTCCTTTTCATCTCAAGTCCTCGTCATCATTCCTCTCTGCGCTGAGCTCCAGGCAAAATTGCGTGTTATCCTCTCTTAACTCGACTAATTAAAGATGCTGTCTCTTGTATCACCGAAAAACGACAAAATTAGAAATTACTATACTCCCACGAAAAAGAGATTTTGTTTGCTTTTCTTATTGATAATTTTTTTTCCAAAATCCGATTTTTTTTATACCTACTTTTAAAAAAATTGCAAAATTTGCCGCCCCCGAAATTTGCCGCCATGGGCCGCGGCCCATGTGGCCACCTCCTTAATCCGGACCTGACGTCATGCAGGGTCAGATCCTCCCCCCCCCTT